CATTGTTGGAACAGTAGGAAGCAACAGGTCTTTTTTTTTGTTTTGTTTTTTTAACAAAAACTGAAATGTAAGCAGGACCTCAGTCTTGTTGTTCTTTGCTTATATCTGAACAAGACAAATAATGCTTGCTAATGCCTGAACCATCCCTGGCTAGGTAGGATTGGCTACAAAAGTAAACTAAGCAGTACTGTAAGAAATGTATCACTACCTAACATTGCATTTAATGCAATTTAATGCAATGTAAAATTGAAAGAAGATTGACAGAAAATAACTGATGTATTTTTAGTAGGTTAATGTTAATTAAAATAACATGGACACTTCCCTGCCCTGGACACTGGACATGAGGCAACAGTTGACAGACTGCATGTCTTTAAATTAAATTATTTTTAACATAGAAAAGTAGCTTCTGCTGGAATTTCACCATCAAATGTCATTTATCACCTAATATGTCTGATTAACATCTATATTATTAGCCATCTGTACAATATTCATAGTACATATTCACCTGCAAACTCTGTTATAATAACAATCATCTGTATATTATGCTATTGTGCATATCTGTTAAAACCATATTTATAGTAATATCCACCTGTATATTATATTCGGTACATATCCAGCTGTAAATTTTGTTCATAACACTAGTTATCTATATATTACAGTATATTCATAGAATAAATCCATTAGTAAAATTCTTAGGGATGCACGATATAATCGGTCCCCTATCGGTATCGGCCTGTATCAGCCTTAAAACTGAATATCGGACATCGGCCACCCCACCGATATTTAACCCGATATTTGATCAGTTTCTGAGTTTTTAAAGTCTAAAAAAAAAAAAAAAACAATACTACTTCTTCTTCTTCCTCAAAAACTTCTTTTTTACAGACTTAAAAACTTCTAAAGACGAGGGAAAAAATATTGATACATTAAAATATCACAATATCTTCCTATGCTGATTTATTGCCATTTAAAAACACCATATCAATCTCTTTTACTAATGAAATATTGCTATATGTCATCGTTATGCTACGAAATCCCCCGAAAATTCACGAAATTTTGCCATTTTTTTATATGTTGATATATTGACACGGTATCGATTTATTTTACTAATAAAATCTCACAAGAATTTGCAAAAAAGAGTTTGTAACAGAACGATGAAATTTCACGAGATTTTGAAAGTAAAATAGATCGATACCGCGTTTTTAAAAATCAATTTGATATCAGCATATGAAAATATATTTGAGTATATTATTTTTCAAAGTGTCAGAAATGGATAACAAAACTGCTATTTTCAATGACTACTTATTTTTGTCCAGCTTTAACATCAGTATCGATATCGGTTATCGGCTACATGAGTTTTAAAATATCGGCATATCGGCCAAAATCCCAATATCGTGCATCCCTAAAAATTCTGTTTATAATGGTATTCATCTCTATATTTATTCAGCAGAACCCATGTCCTGTACTTATAGAACCATTATTTATCCTGCACTTGCTTCTATTGTACTTCTGGTTAGACTTAAACTGCATTTTGTTGCCTCGTACCTGTACCTGTGTAATGACAATAAAGTTGAATCTAATCTAATCTAATCTAATCTAATCTAAAATGCCAATACTTGTAATGGTAAATGTATATTAACTTTTGAATTTTAGACTGTGCACTTTTCTAACAAACTTTATAAGTAACAGTGTCTCTAAACTAGTTAAACTTGAATATGAAAGTAAGTTTCAGTAACATAATTTTTTTAACCACAAGTTCTATGATTAGTTGTTATTAGGCTGGAATAACCGTATATAAAACAACCCATATGACTAATTTAGAACACCCCATAAAGTTTCCTTTTAAAGTTCACTTATGTGAGCATTCAAGAAAACCATGCAGCTTCTGAAGCTCCTTTAAGCCAAGCCTAAGCTCTGGTGACCTCTCTGAGATCTTTACGACTATCTGCTGTGAAAGTTCTACCCCATAGCATCACAACTCCATAAACATGCACTACAGTAGAATCTAGCTATTAATCTGTGTCATTTTTGGCATGTTTCAAACTTGTAAATTCACTTCACACCAGCCACATATTTTTTTATTGTTTTTTGCATGGTGGAGGGTAAAACGCCTCTGGCTATGCTGCTGTAAATATCCCTGAAAGGGAGACAATCGATCTGAATCACTTTATCAATCAGTGACAAGGCCTTTGAACTGCAGACGTGATTTCCAGCTAGTCTGTCATCCCACCCTGTCGTCTGTAAAAACACTCCGGGGGGAGATTGCTCCACACAGGCCTGGCTCGTAAAACAGTTTTTATGTTCAAACACGCCCTCACTGATTGTTGACAGGGTCCAGAAAAAGTTACCATTTGAATAAAGGTCTGTCCTTTTATTGTTCCACTGTAGTGGAACCGGACCGTGATTTTGTACCTGGTTTCCTCTGTTTAAACTCCTTTTAATGGTACAACACCTTCCCTCCTAGCTTCTTTGCTGCAACTAACTAACAAAGATCTCCACCCCCTGTGTAGCTCCTATGTAGAAAAAGGAGAGGAAGGGGAAAGGGAATGTTTTCCCTCTTTGTCCCCACCTCTCTCCCCTCACCTCCCTGGGGCAGTGCTGTGTAGTAATAAACGTCCCCCACATAAATCTTCTCCTCATGCCATCCTCCCCTTCCTCCATCTCCCTCCACCCCTAACAACCTTGCCTTTCTTCTTCTTTCTGCTGCAGCCCAACACACGACCGATGGCTGCTCTGTCATGAATTTCAGAAGGCAGAGGGATGATGGACCTCGGTAGGTCCCAGAGTCTGCTGCCTGCTCCCATCTCATGTCTCCTGCATGCATCATACTTGACTGAGTATGGTTTGAATCTGGTGAGATCACCTTCGTATCATGTTATCACTTGCCAGGTGAATTGATATACACATATTAAAGTTAAGGAGGGGAGCTTTAGGCCTGCATGTCAGTTTTGATAAAAAAGAACAAACAAAACAGAAAGTTAAAATGCACAAACATTGACATAGTTGTGGTGGGGAAAGAGTTAAAAGCTCATACTCTCTGAATTCACCGGAAAGTCCCACAAAGTCAGGGCAATTAGGAGTAAATTAATTACAGAGGAGTAGATGGTAGCTGAAACCCTGAGGTTATTTCTGCATATCTCAGTAAACAACCCTCGAATGTTCAAGAATACCAAAAGAAAAATGTTTTAGATTATTTTTTAATAAGCTGTGATCTATCTATCAGTCCATCTATTTATACATCTTTCCGTCCTGTAGAAGATTTTATTGTATGCATTATGGCTCATTGTCAAAGGGAGATTCTAGTCAACTTTTTTCATTGTTCCTTTATGTTCCCCCAGTATATCCAGAAGATTAGAATACAGTTTTAAGGTGCAAACCTCTAAAAATAA